CTAGCCTTGGAAGAAAAAGGTTAATATTTTGGTTTTATGTTTTTAATTATGTAACCTTTTTAATTTAAAAGTTTTATTAGGTTAATATTAAATATGAATAACTATTAGTGATTGAATTTTATAATCAATCAAATTAAAATGAATTAGGAGATTTAATATTTAAATATAATAATTATGAAAATGATAATAAATAAATAGTTTTAATGACTTATTAAGAGTTTAAGGATATAGTTAGTAAGTATTAATTATGAATAAGTGATTTAAATTAGAATAGGGTATATTAAAATAGGATTTAGATTAAATAAATATAATAAAATAAGTGAAGAAATTAAATAATTCTTAATCTAATCAGAATAATGTGTCAATTAAATTTAAGTTTACTACAATCATTAATTAAATAAAATGTCATTTAAATAAACAAAAAAAAAATTGGGATGCTATGATTTAATATATTAAATAAAAAATGAAAGTTTTTATAGACATAAAATAACAAATTAAGCATTGAATATATTATTGTGAATATTTTCTAGAAGTATCAAATTAAAGATGGCTATGTCAAAGTAAGAGATTGAAAATCTAAAAGCAAATCGTATGGTATTGATGTAAGTACTCTTACTTTTGATTTATAGTTGTATTTTTGTTTCTCCTCAAACAGTTGCATTAATTGTATTTGATACCTGTAAATCTAAATGCATAGTTTCTTTCTAATTTATATATTAGTTTTTTCTTGTTCACTCTATCATAAATGATTAGCAATAGTCTTTATCATGCATTAATTTAAGGATATGTATATAGTATGATTGCATGTGAATGTTGACTATGATGAAGTTTACCCTTTTATGACATTATCAGGAGATCACTAAGATATTATAGATATCGATGTATCTTTAGTACAAGTTATTGACGACACTCTTGTGAATGCAGACGCACGCGCACACACACACATATTATTGATATAGTAAAATACATTGGATGTTTTAAACTATAGTGGACAATAATATTATAAAAATTAAAATGGCTACTACTTTTTATTAATTCATAGTACTTATCACCAACATGTATATCATTATTATTTGTTATGTTATTGTAGTTTACACGTACGTGTACTCACTAGCTTTTGTAGCACATAATGATTTTAAATTAACTTTTTCAGGGTTAAGCTTTTGCGTAATGATGAATAATAAAGAAGGGAGTATCTATAGAAGGTGTGGACAACCCTAGTTAAGGTAAATTTATCAATTGTTTCATTTTATTTTTTAAAATTATTAGTGGCTTTCTCGATCATTTTGGGATAATTAAATGTTAGTTATAGAAAATTTTGATTATCACCGGTCAACCATCTATTTACCTATTTGAAAATTCTAAGCCTCAGGTCGGGTTATGATAGAAGGCTTCCTCCCTTCCTCTTTTCGGGTTTCATGTGTAAGAAACTGCATCTCCTCTTTCCAGTGTTGTCAGCAAAGGCCTACACTGACCTTCTCAGGTTTATCATTCTGTATGAGGAAAGTAGTTAAAGAACCTCTTATCTTTGAATTTACCCATGGCGAGCAACTGATCTGAACATCACTTGCAAAGGCAGATTCTCCTTCATACATATTTGTTCTAAGAGATTTTTTAATATCTTGAAATAAATTGTTGACCTTAATTTCAGTCAACCCTATTTTTTTAGTTTAAGTTTAATTGTATTTCACTTGAGCTTGATCTTGAGCAAATCCTAATTAAAAAAAAAAATTAAATTTAAACATAATTAAAATTAAAATAAAATCAAATCAATCATCAAACACAATCAATTTTAATTAAACTCAAAGATAATCCTAAAAACAACCTTAATTAATTAAACTCTAAGATTGTTATTTTTTGTCTCGAGACCATTGTAGGACTCAAGTATTCATTTTGAAAGATGCATGAAGCTTATTATGACATATAAATACCATACAAATAAAATTGACAATAGCTTGAAATAATTTTAACATAAAACTCTTAATTCATAGTTGGTTATCGTCACAAAATCTAAAATGATCATTTTTCTCCGTTGGACAATCCGATGATCTAAATTATATTCTGTAAGTTGCATGATCTTATTAATCGCAATCATAAAGACCAATTTGGTGGTCATTAGCTTGAAATAATTTTAACATAAAACTCTTAATTCATAATTGATTATCATCACAAAATCTAAAATGATCATTTTTCTCCATAGGACAATCCGATGATCTAAATTATATTTTGTAAGTTGCATGATCTTATTAATCACATATAAAAATCATAATGACCAGTTTGGTGGTCATTAGACACCGTTTTTATATAAAATTGTGCACTTAGGGTCTTCATATATGAAAAGTGATCCCAAATAAAAATTTTTAAACGAGCCATTATTTTTGAAACAAAATTTTTTATTACATTCATATTGTCAAAATCTTTCAATAAGCCCATCTGTGACTAAATCTGACTCCAATTGGAGGCCCGTTGTGTTGACTATAATCAGGAGATATAAGAAAATAATTTTGATAATGAAATGATAATTTGACCATAATCACCTCAAAATGACTTTCAAATCAACTTGGGACTTCAACTAATGTTATTTTAAATTTAAAAAAAAAACACACACAACTTTAACCAATAAAACCAATTGAAAATTTTAAGTCAAAATTCATAATTTTCTCTCTTAAGGGTTTATGCCCACTTTGACAGACAGTATTTTCACACGTAGCTTGAATTAGCCAAAATTAGTTAAAACATTAATTATTTTACATTTTGCTCTATCAAATGAGGTCAAGTTTTAATTTTTGACCATAACCAGCTTCCAACCGCTGAGCCACTTCAAATGCTTGCAACTTAAGCTCGAGACTTTCTTTTTTTAAATGATTTCGATCATTAGATTCTTTATCCTGTCCTATTCAAAATGAACTATGCTTGTATTTTTCCATAACTATCCTAACTATCTTGCATGAATTACTAAAATTCTTCTGTCATTTTCAAAAATTACTTTTATGCCTATTAATCCTAGCCATTCATTCCCACTCCAACTCCCTCATCCTAGTCGCCCCTTTCCTTGATCCTCCACGCTTTTTCCTATCGGTCCAACTCATCCATATGCCCCCCTCCACCAAGCCCTCCTTTTTATTACATAACTCTCCACAATCCTTGTCGCCCACTTTCATTAACCACCTTGCTCTCCTCCTCCCTCAGTCTTCACGTAAACCACCACTCCCCACCATCTTGCCATGACCCTCTCACTCATTTGACTCCAATTTTTAAACTTTCTCTCCACTTCTTCCTCTCCAAAGGCAAACCCAAAACCTTAACCCTATCAAAACCAAATTTTGGTTCTCTCCGCAGTCCAAATTGTGAGCCTACTCTCATCCAAGCAAATGAATCCAAAGGCATGGGCTTCACACTTGCATTTTCTTGAATTTTCCATCCAATTTGAATTTCTTCATGTGTTAAATGTTACATGGTGAGCTTTAAAATTCACCATGTGTTCCTAAAATTTCAAATGTTTCTTTCATGTTTCATGTTGTTTCTTCAAAATTAACCATAGAATTTTAAAACCTTTCATATATATTATTTTTTTCTCAAATGAGCCAAACATTCAATCCCCCTGCCACTGAGGGAAAAAAAAAAAAAGAAAACATAAAATCATAATATACTTATTAAAAAAGTATAAAAATACTAGATTTCATTTAAATAAGAGAAATTCATGTTAGAAGTCGTGTTAAGTAAAATTACAAACAAAATCTATTAACATCGAGCAAATCATAATGAATGTTATCATTCTAATAACACTGAAGCTCACCTCTGTTTCGTCATCATCACCAAAATCTTCATATTTCATGTTAAATATGTGATGATGTTGTGCTCTTTAGAAATAGCAGAAGGATGTCGCTTAAATCCTAGCTGCAAGAAAAACCCCAGCCGCAAGAAAAAGAAAATGAAAAGCATGCGGTTATGAATAATATCAGGTTTTAAACAGCACGTTTTTTTCAATGTTTCGGGTGGTCTTTTGGCAAAGTCATGCAAAAAATAGCATTTTTCACATTTTTTTATTCGCAAAAATAGGACCCACCACTTTACATATGACGGCGTATTATTGGAATCCAGACACAAGATTGCATCTAAACTCCAAATACAATATTTCTCCATTAAATGGAGGTACCACACAATCAGGGCTAATGTAACAAACACATATCGGTTTCAACAAACTTGTCAAATAAAAATTTGATGAGTGTCGAGAACTAATGTCAGATTCCATCCCTTTGAAGTTTATACTCCCATTAAAAAAATTAAAGACAAACATAATCAAGCAATGTCTTGCATAGCCAAAACAACTATAAAATAATAGTATTTACTTCATAAGCATCAGCACTAGAAGAAATACATTTGCTAAAACTTTAAATTAAAAAATATGAATAAATGGTAAAAAAATTTTAAATGAAAAGTCTTCTTTTATTATACTATTTAATTTCCCATTTAATCTACAAACCTGCATGCAATATCACCTTTCAAAACAAACTTTTAAATGAAGGAAAAAATATTATATTAGGACTCCGCACGTAGAGTCACGTGTGGAGTCACGCCGTGGAGGTGATCGGCCCGATAACACAAGGGAATATTCCCCTCGTGTTATTCAATGTTATTGTGTTATTCAAGTGTTATGTGTTTGTTTTCTGAGAATATTCCTGATATTATAATAACACAATAACACATTAATAATACTTAAATAACACATGAATAACACATAATAACACATGAGGAATATTCCTTGTGTTACCGGACCGATCACCTCCACCGCGTAATTTCATTGGACTCCGCACATAACTCTACGTGCGGAGTCTTGATGTAATATTTTTTTCTAAATGAAGACATCCCTCTATAAAATGAAACTTTCACATACAAACCTCATTTCCAATATTTCTTTTATAGAAAATTGTTGCCATCAACAAGCGTAAAAATAATTTTCACTTCAATTTATCTCATGTAGTTCTCAAATAATACCACGATGCATCCGAACACATAGCATGACCATTCAATTATATAGCCTGAACACAAATTTACAAGTTGTCTGGCACGAATGAAGTTATTGGATACAGACTTTAAAAGGCATGAAAAATGAGAATAAGAATTATTGAGAAAATGGTAGAAATTCACTCTTATTCTAAAGCCCATCCAGCTCAAATGTTTGAATCTCCAATATGAAACCAACCTACTTTTAATGAAGGAGAGAAATGAGGGAGAAGGGCTAAACTGACCTTATATAACAGTTCCATTGGGAATTAAAGCATCCTTGATTACAGTGACAATGCCACTTTTGATGAAATATCCATCTGTTTCTCTTGCAGCTTCTTGTACACCATCTCTGTTGATGATCTGCAATATTAAAAATTGAATCAAAATTAGAAGGAATCTATACAGCATTATCATATGATCACAAACACAAATTTCTAGACTGGAAGGAATAAAAATGAAGAGACATCACACCGGAAACACTAATCAAGAGACATCAAGATTGTTGTGGAAATCTCTAGAATAAAAAAATCACATGCAGAAGAGAAGAATTCAATATATTAGAAAATAGAATTACTAGTTGAGAGTTGCCACTCACATAGCGTAACATCAAAAATCTCTCTCTCGGACACACACTTAACATTACTATTAACAAAACTCACACTAAGTGATTTTTTTAAACTACGAATTGATGCATTTATGGGTGCCAAAAATCATACCATTGAGAATTAGATGATTTACAGAAATACCACTTAATTCCTATGTATTTACATATCTAACACCTAAATTTATATATATATAT